TGGATCTATTTCCAGTCTTCTATACATTGATATCCAGTTATGCCAGCACAATTTGTTGAAGATGTTTTCTTTTTTCCATGGTACTTTTTTGGCTTCTTGTTCGTATGTTCATAGATATGTGAATTAATGTCAGGGTCTTCAATTTGATTCCATTGCTCCATGTGTTGGTTTGTATGCCAGTACCAAGCTGTTTTTTTTATTATTGTAACTCTATAGAGCTTGAGATCAGGGATCATGATGCCTCCAGAGGTGGCTTTATAGTAAAAGATTCTTTTAGCTATCCTAGGTTTTTTGTTTTTCCATATAAAGTTAAGTATTATTCTTTCCAAGTCTGTGAAGAATTGTTTTGGGATTTTGATGGGGATTGCATTGAATCTATAGATTGCTTTTGGTAAGATTGCCACTTTTACTATGTTAATTCTACCTATCCATGAGCATGGGAGATCTTTCCATTTTCTGATACCTTCTTCAATTTCTTTTTTCAGAGACTGAAAGTGCTTATCATACAGGTCTTTCACTTGCTTAGTCAGAGTTACCCCAAGGTATTTTATATCATTTGTGGCTATTATTTTAAAGAGTGATGTTTCTCTGATTTCTTTCTCAGCCCATTTATCATTTGTATATAGGAGGGCTACTGATTTTTTTGAGTTAATCTTGTATCCTGCCACATTACTGAAGGAGTTTATCAGTTGCAGGTGTTCCCTGGTAGAATTTTTGGGGTCACTTATGTATACTCTCATACCATCTGCAAATAGTGAAAGTTTGACTTCTTTCTTTCCAATTTGTATCCCCTTGATCTCCTTTTGTTGTCTTATTGCTCTAGCTAGAAATTCAAGTACTATGTTGAATAATTATGGAGAGATTGGCAGCCTTGTCTTGTTCCTGATTTTAGTGGAATTCTTTGAGTTTCTCTCCATTTAATTTGATGTTGGATGTTGTCTTCCTGTAAATTGCCTTTATTATGTTTAGGCATGTGCCTTGTATTCCTGATCTCTCTAGAACCTTTATCATGAAGGGGTGTTGGATTTTGTCAAAGGCTTTTTCAGCATCTAATGAGATGATCATGTATTTTTTTATTTCAGTTTTTTATGTGGTGTATTACATTGAGAGATTTTCATATGTTGAACCATCCTTGCATCCCTGGGATGAAGCCTACTTGGACGTGATGGATAATTTTTTTTATGTGTTCCTGGATTTGGTTAGCCTGTATTTTATTGAGTATTTTTGCATCAATGTTCATGAGAGAGACAGCTCTGTAATTCTCTTTCTTTGTTGCATCTTTGTGTGGTTTTTGTATGAGGGTAACTGTAGCCTCATAAAAAGAGTTTGGTAATGTTCCTTCTGTCTCTATTGTGTGGAAAAATTTGAAGAGTATTGGTATTAGATCTTCTTTGAAAATTTGGGAGAATTCTGAGCTAAAACCATCTGGTTCTGGGATTTTTTGTTTTTTGGTTGGGAGACTTTTAATGATCATTTCTATTTCCTTAGGGGTTATTGGTCTATTTAAATAGTTTATCTGGTCTTGATTAACTTTGGTATGTGGTACCTATCCAGAAAATCATCCATTTCTTTCAGATTTTCCAATTTTGTGGAGTACGGGTTTTTGAAGCATGACCTGATGATTCTCTGGATTTCCTTGTTGTCTGTTGTTATATCTCTCTTTCAATTTCTGATGCTCTCTCTCTGCTTTTGGGTTAATTTGGATAAGGGCTTATCTATCTTGTTGATTTTCTCAAAGAACCAACTCTTTGTTTCATTTATTCTTTGTATTGTTCTGTTTGTTTCTATTTTATTGATTTCAGCCCTCAATTTTATTATTTCCTGGCATCTGTTTCTCCTGGGTGAGTTTGCTTCTTTTTGTTCTAGAGCTTTCAGATGTATTGTTAACTCACTAGTGTGAGATTTCTCCAACTTCTTTATGTGGCATTTAGTGCTATGAATTTTCCTCTTAGTACTGATTTCATAGTGTCTCATAAGTTTGGGTATGTTGTACATTCACTTTCTTTGAATCCTAGGAAGTCTTTAATTTCTTTCTTTATTTCTTCTTTGACCCATTGGTGATTCAATTGGGCATTATTCAGTTTCCATGAGATTGTAGGCTTTTTGTAATTTTTGTTGTTGTTGAAATCTAACTTTAGGCCATGGTGGTCAATTAAGATACAGGAGGTTATTTCATGTTTTTGTATCTGTTGAGATTTGCTTTGTGACCAAGAATGTGCTTGATTTTGGAGAAGGTTCCATGGGGTACTGAGAAGAAGGTATATTCTTCTGTGTTGGGGTGGAATATTCTATAGATATCTATTAAGTCCATTTGAGCCATAATGTCTGTTAATTCCCTTATTTCTCTGTTAAATTTCTGTCTGGCAGACCTGTCCATTGGTGAGAGTGGGCTGTCAAAGTCTCCCACTACTAGTGTATGGGGTTTGATGTGTCATTTAAGCTTTAGTAATGTTTCTTTTACAAATGTAGGTGCCCTTTTATTTGGGGCATAAATATTCAGAATTGAGATTTCATCTTGTCGGATTTTCCCTGTGATAAATATGTAATGACCTTCCCGATCTCTTTCGATTGACTTTAGTTTGAAGTCTATTTTATTAGATATTAGGATAGCTACACCAGCTTGCTTCTTAAATCCATTTGATTGGAAAGTCTTTTCCCAGCCTTTAATCTGAAGTAGTGTCTGTCTTTGAAGTTGAGGTGTGTTTCTTGTATGCAGCAAATGGATGGATCTTGTTTTTGTATCCATTCTGTTAGCCTGTGTCTTTTTATAGGTGAATTGAGATCATTGATATTAATGGATATTAATGACCAGTGATTGCTAATTCCTGTTATTTTTTTGTTGGTAGTGTTGTGTGTTTCTCTTCTTTGGTGTATGTTGGTGTGGGATTATCTATTGCCTGTGGTTTCATGGGTGTATCTAACTTCCTTAGGTTGGATCTTTCCTTGTAGTGCTTTCTATAGGGCTGGATTTGTGGAAAGATATTGTTTAAATCTGGTTTTATCATGGAATATTTTGTTTACTCTGTCTAGGTTGATTGAGAGTTTTGCTGGGTATAATAGTCTGTGTTGGCATCCATGCTCTCTTAGTTTCTGCATAATGTGTGTCCAGGACATTCTGGCTTTTAGGGTCTCCATTGAGATGTCAGGTGTTATTCTTATAGGTCTGCTTTTAGATGTTACTTGGCCTTTTTCCTTTGCAGCTCTTAATATTTTTCTTTATTCTGTATGTTTAGTGGTTTGATTATTATGTCGTGAGGGGACATTTTTTTGGATCCAGTCTTATTGGTGTTCTGTAATCTTTATAGGCATTTCCTTCTTTAAGTTGGGAAAGTTTTCTTCTACGATTTTGTTAAATATATTTTCTGTGCCTTTGAGTTGGTGTTCTTCTCCTTCTTCTATCCCTATAATTTGTAGGTTAGGTCTTTTCATGGTGTCCCAAATTTCCTGGACATTTTGGGTGATGACTTTGTTGGCTTTAGTGTTTTCTTTTACTGATTATTCTATTTCCTCTACCTTCAATGCCAGAGATCCTCTCTTCCATCTCTTGCATTCTGTTGGTTATGCTTGCATCTGTAGTTCCTGTTCATTTCTCATATTTTCCACTTCCACCATTCTCTCAGTTTGTGTCTTCTCTATTGTCTCGATTTCATTTTTCATATCTTGAACTGCTTCCCTCACTTGTTTAATTGCTTTCTCTTGGCTTTCAAGGGATTTACTGATTTCTTCCCATTTTTTGTTTGACTTTTCCTCAAATTCTTTAAGGGAATTTTTCATTTTCTCTTTAAAGATCTCTATCATCTTCTTAAGGTCATTTTAAGGTCAATTCCTTCTCTTTCTTCTGTGTTCAGATGTTCAGGTCTTGCTGAAGTAGGTTCTGATGGTGCCATATTGGTTTTTTCGTTGTTGACTCTATTTTTGCACTGGTGTCTACCCATCTCTTTCTCTACTTGGTGAAAGTGGTGTCTGTCTCTGAGGAAGCCTCTCTTGGTACAGTGGGAGCTCTTGGTCTAATTGGTGCCAGTGGACTCTTTGTCTCAAGGAGCAGCTCTTAGTCCAATTGGTGCTTGTGGGCTCTATGTCAGGTAGTAGCTCTTAGCCCAATCTGGCACCTGCAGTTTCTGTCTCAGGGAACACTTGCAGTCTCTGATGGTGGGTGGGATTTGAGTGAGGTGGGGCTTGTGGGTTACAGGGCCTGATGGGGGATGGTGGTAGTCTGATGTGTCTGCAGGTCTGCCTGCTGACTGGCCTATAACTGTGACTGCAATGGGTGATCGTGTGGGGGCACAGAGTTGTGACCCTGGGCCCAAAGCCAAGGGGCTGGGGTGTTCAGGTATGAGGATAAAGACTCACCTCTTAGTCCTATCGAGTGCTGGCGGGCTCTGTCTCAGGGAACAGTTGCAGTCTCAGAAGATAGGTGGAATTTGAGTGAGGTGGGGCTTGTGGGTTACAGGGCCTGACAGGGGATGGTGGTAGTCTGACCTGCCTGCAGGTCTGTCTGCCCACTGGACTGTAACTGGAACTGCAATGGGTGGTGGTATGGGGGTGTAGGGTTGTGCCCCCAGGGCCCAAAGCCTAGGGGCTGGGGTGTTCAGGTATGAGGATAAAGACTAACCTTTTAGTCCAATTGGGTGGTGGCAGGCTCTGTCTCAGGGAACAGTTGCAGTCTCAGAGGGTGGGTGGGATTTCTCATTAATTCTTTTTAGCATTTTGGATCTAATTTTAGGGCCAGGGCACATTCTTTCACTGGATTTGAATTGAGGGACAAAGTGTGTTTCTTTTGCTCTGGTATCAGGGTCAGGGTATGTTTCTTAGGTTCTGTATTGAGAGCTAAAGTGTTTCTTTTGCTGGCATGTATCCAGGGCCAGGGTGTGTCACTAGCTCTGATTTCCAGGTTAGAATGGGTTTCTTTATTTGGTCCCATTTCCTTGCATGGCTCCCCACAGGAAACTACAAAGCTGCCATCTCATCATTTTTTCCCACTGTCCTCTTGCTTCCTACAGAAAATTTCCAAAGTGCACCTTTCTTTGGGACAGAATGTGCTCTGCAGCCCCGTGAGCCTGTGCTGAGGAATACCACGCCCTTAGCATGAAATGTGTGCAACTTCTCCAGGGTCTCCACCCCAGCTGTGAGTTCAGCATGGCTCTTTCCATGAGATTCCAGCACTTGTTGCCTAGCAGCTCATGGACAGTGTCTACCCCTACCTACCAGCTGACATGACCATGGTGACAGCATTGACTGACCAGGGACAGAAGCCTACATTGGCACTCTCCCATCCAGGTGTTCTCCAGTGGTATCCCAGAGGAAGCACTTACAGGAGGGAAGCTGTGTGGTGATATTGTATTTGTGCTGAAATGTGATATTTTATTTGTATGTTAATAAATGAAGTTTGCCTGGAGATCAGAGGTCATAGACAGCCATAAACAGAAGTCAGGCAGTTGTGGCACATGCCTTAAACTGATCACAAGCAGACAGTCTCTATGTGTTCAAGGACATAGCCAAGCATGGTGGCACATGCCTTTAATCCCACTACCAACCATAGAGAACTGGAGGTCTGTATATAGAGGCAGTGATGAGGAAGTGAGGTGGCTGGGTTAAGAGCCAATGAAAAGGCAAAACAGCAAGGCAATAAACATACAGGTTACACAGGAAAAGGATCTCTTGGGAAGCTATGGCGACGTAGTGAGCTAAGGTTAGTTGGTGGCTATCACTCTGCTCTCTATGGATTTTACCCCTGTATTTGGCACTGTGTTTCTTATTTAATAAGACTGTTTAGAAATTTGTCTACATTTGGCACCCAACATGGGGCCATGTTGAGTCTCATGACCATGATCATATGTGGATAAGAGAAGCAATTACAAAAGTTTTGAGGAAACATGTCATATGTTTTGGGTGTGGAAAAGAAGGTCATTTGAAAAGGGAATATAAACAAGGCATTCCTAGAAAGAAGGTTTATTCAAGGAACAATGGCAACAGAATATCCCTCCCTTCAGGATTATGCAGAAGGTGCGGTAAGGGTAAACATTGGACCAATGAATGCAGATCAACAAGGGACAGACAAGGTAATCCTTTGCCTCAGTCCTCAGAAAACTCCCAGAGGGCCCTCATGCAGGCCCCCACAGAAAATTCACTTCTGACCTTTCCTGCCATCATAGAAGAAACCCCTTCTCAGAGCAATTTAATAACCAAATGCTTATTGCAATAAACCAGGCTGCTTGGGGTGATAGAACAGTTGAGGCAGAGAGAATAGAAAATTCAGGAGAAACCATGAAGCAAATTTTTTGGCACAATTTTATAAATGAACAAAGACCAATATTAAAAATAGGAATAAATGACATTTTTGGATGGTTTGGTAGACACAGGTGCAGATGTGACAATAATTGCACCAGAATTTTGACATCCAAATTGGCTGCTTGAGGAGGTAAATATTCAGCTGTTAGAGATTGGATCATTATCTCAAGTGAAACAAAGCACAAGATAGCTTGAATGTATATGTCCAGAAGGACAGATAGGAAAATTAAAACCATATGTGGCTAATATAGCTATGAATTTTTGGGGCCGTGATCTATTATAAAATGAAATACTTAGATTAACACTCTTCCAAAAACAGGACAGGGAATGTTCACCAGGAAAAACTGAGTAGTTACTAAGTGTCTGTAAACCGAGGTGGTACCATTGCTACTCAAGCATAGCTCATAGGATTGCCTGGCCCACTATTGAAGGAACCTGAGTGCTGAGGTGCATTGAAAGGAGGGGATCATCTCACTTACCAGGCACTGACTCCTTCCTTGGATCTTTGCCAGTGGTGGAAATGGAGACAGCCTGAGGATTGACACCTTCAGGCCTGAAACTCCGTCTGCTACAGAGTCCTGACTGCTGCAATGTCTGCACCCAGGATACCCAGATGAAGATACCATCTGTTGATGGGGACAGGTCATTAACTGCCCTTATTCACAGTCCTTCAGAATTCCTTCTTTGCCTCCAGCTCCAAGCCTGGAACAAACAGAAAATAACAATGTGGAAGAGATGACTGCTGAGCAATCAAAGCTGCTGAATGCCTATGAGGGCAGTACAGAAAACCAAGATTCATCCCTCCTCCGTTTAGCACACCCAGACATGCAGTAGCCCCTGAACTACATTGATGATGGGAGACTAAGGCAGAACCCAGCTTCTGATAATGCCATCTTGGGAAGCAATAGCCTTGGTCTAGGAGAGCCTGGGTCTTTGTAGAGTGTCATGGTCTCAAGCATTGACTTGGAAGACAAGACTACAGTGCTGTCAGATATTCAACTTCCTCAACTCTTAAACTCCCTCACTGACCTAGACTACTGGGAAAATCCCACAGGAATCCATTCGAAAGACTCCACAGTCATCAGGAGGAATAAGTTTCAAGAACGCTCCAGGATCATAGAACTCTCTGAACAGGTAAGCAAGAAAGAAATTATCTCATCTGCTTCATGGATCTCTTCAGGCCCAAATCCAGCACCAGGACCTTGTGGAGGGTAGAGAGGCTGGGCCCAATGCTGCGGCTAGTGAAGGGTTTATTGACAACATGAACAACAAACATTTGGAAGGCAAAGCTCAGGAAGCCACACCCAGCCGGCCCAGGATAACTAGGGTACAGGGGCAAGATGGGACTAAGAGGACTAGGGAAAACAATTTCAGCAAAATACAGCAGCTGAAGCCATCAAGTCACAGAGTCAAGACACAAGAGAAACTCACCATCCCCAAGACCAAGAGGAAGAAATTATACATGAGCTCAGCCATGACAGATTTAAAAAGCCTCGAACTCACCTCGGAAAGCACATGCTCCATGCAGGTCCTTCACACACTGGAAAAGAAGAGTGAGAAAAAAACTGGCAACTCATCCACCAAGGCTCTGCTAAATTTCAAGTGCAACAAAGATCCCAGGACAGACCCAGGCACCATATCACTACAAGAGGTGCCATGTGATGGCCGAGGCCCAGGTAAAATGCTGGGCAATGCTCAGAGACAAGAGAGCAGTGTTTGCAAGTAGCACTCTCCATCCCACTATGAGCTGCCCCCACCTGCGAAGGTCAATTTAGTACCTCTGCCTTTCCCAGCCCTGGACAAGCCTCAAGCCAGACTGGTTTCTAGAAAGCCTCTCTCCCTGGCTTCTGGCAGGGGCCCTGCAGCATATCCTGTGAGGCCTCATTCTCACTTGGCTCAGCCTACCATACTCATGCCACCCCAAACAGCTCCTGCCAGCACTTCTTTGTTGGCCGCTGACAAACCAGTTCTGCCCATTGTGACCAGGGCAACACGAGCTAACATAACCAACCCCATCCAGTCTTGTCCCGGGCCTCAGCCAGTTGTCTGTAGGCCAGAATCCTACAGGGCATCATCTCACACTTCACTCCAGAGGGAGCTTGCTTCTGCTGACAAGAACAAGGCCCCATCACCTCCCAAACCTCAAATCCAATATCTACTGCAAGACTTCAGCCACCAACCAATTCCATGGAGGAAAGTTGACATTCCAGGGCCAGTCATCTCACAGCCCATCACAGAAGAGCAGAGACCACACCGGGAGGCCATGAAGAGGCAGGCTCAACAGGAGAGAGAGAATGCTCTCTGGGAAAACCACAGCCTTTCCTTCAGAGGCAGAAGGATATGGAAATTTCTACTATTTTGGCTATTTCATGTAAGTTGTGGCCTAGATTTTGGAACACAGTACTATTCAACATAGAGAAAGGGAGATATAGATACACATATACATTTATACATTGGATTTAAATATCTGGGTGAATGTGTAGATAAGTAGGTACATATGGAGTTAAGGAGATTAATTGGTAGATGCAAGGATTTATATATATAATTGTCAGACATAGTTTCTATACTTGTAAATATTTGAAGACATTAAAAGTGACTGAAGAAACTAAAGTCAGTTATATCATCCACGAGTAAGTATATATAGAAGGGTTTGATGGTTTCTTCATACCTTTGGTACTATTCATGTTGCCAAACTAGAAATATGTGTTACATAAATATATCATATACTATAAACCACTGGTAGTGTTTATTTAAGGTAAAAGTAATTATTCTCTTTGACTTTTATTTTCAAATAAAATAAAATCTTTGAACTTGGTATGTTTCCTATCGTGTATACTGTTATAGTAAACACACTCCTGTTCTCACCACACTTCCTCCCATTTAAAACCACTTACCCCAGTCCTTTAATCATTACTGGGTCTGGGACAAATCTCCTTCTGAAATTTCATGAAATGAAATACAGGATTCCATGTATACACTATCAAGCACCCACCTTAAAGAGAAAATATATAAGGCTGACCATCTTCTTGAGAAGAGTTTCATTTCATAACTATGTTTATCTCAAGTTGTTTCCATCTTTGAATTCATCCATTAAATACTTTAATTTATTTTGCATGTGTGTTTGTCTGTGTGTCGTCCACCTGAATTCATGTGGAACACTTGTGTGGAGTGCCCACAGAGGATGGAAAAGGGCATCATCTCTAGGGTCTGGAAATAAGAGAGTTAGAAAGCCACGAGGAGGTGCGCTGAAGCAAGCCCGGGAATCTGCAATCACTCCAGTGTTCTTATCTACTTAGCCATCTCATGGAGCCTGAGTTGAATCCACATACTGCAAACAACATAACTTCATTTTCCCTATGGCTGAAAACACTTTACTTTCTTCAGACATCCCATTTTCTTCACCCATGGCAATGCTGTTGGACACTACGTTTGTTCTCCAAACAGTGCTGCAGTCAACATTGATGGGAAAGTACATCTCTAATATATTGAGTTCTTTAGAAAGGCATATAAGAACCATGTGGTGGTCCAGGTTTTGGCTGTTGGAGGACCTGCCACACTGACCTCCAATCAGGCAGGAAAACTTCCCCTCCCTTCCATCACTGTATAGCATTCCTTTCTGTGAACTCTCTCAGTGGTGGCTGTCATTTCTTTTCTAGTTGGCCTTGGATGGCATCTAGGAGGTTCACATGTATGTCCTTAATTCCTCCTCAATCTGAACCTTTGTATGTCCTCACTCTCCTTTTTATGAAATTGGGGAGGACTGTCTTTTTCTTTGTCCTTTAGTACCTGGGTTGTCTTCTTTCTTATGATTTATGTATTTTATCTAATTCTAAATAATCTAGATTTTAATCTTCCTACTGAGGTAGCAATAGCAAAGATGTCCTCCTGTTCTCTAGGACCTCCTCTCAAATAACTGTTTGTTTATTCTGGCAACAAATTCTTTACTTCCCTGAGAGACCATCTGTCAACTACAGCCAGGATTTCTTGAGTGGCTGGTGTGTTGTTCCATTCGGGCCTGTCTGTGAAGATTCAACTCTTTTGCATACTCTGTGCTCTCATACTATCAGGGTTACTCACGCTATGGCCTCTGAGGCACATGGCATTTCATTTTGCAGGGTGACACATAGGAAATATAACTCATTTATTTATTAATTTGCTTTTAATTTATTGAACCATGTTCTCTCTCCATAACCCTGAATGTTAATGAACTGACTATGTTGTAGCATGAATCTTAAAGAGTCCTATTAATAAAAACAAACTTGAAGCCAGGTATTGGGATGAATGCTGGAAGATCAGAGAGACAGAACAAGGCACAGCTTCCTCACCTCATCAATTCCTCAGCTGATGCTGTTTCCTCAGACTGGAAGCCTCTGAACCCTTATCCAGATTAATCTCAGCTGAACTGCTTCTCGAAAGCCTGAATGCTTAAGCAGCCTAGTTCCTGGTTTTCATGCCTTATATACCTTTCTGCTTTCTACCCTCACTTCCTGGGATTAAAGGCTCACTTTCTGGGATTAAAGGCATGTATCACCATGTCTGGCTGTTTCCAATGTGGTCTTGAACTCACAGAGATCCAGAGGGGTTTCTGCCTCTGGAATGCTAGGATTAAAGGAATGAGTGCCACCATTTTCTAGCCTCTGTGTCTAGTGGCTGTTCTGTTCTCTTACCCTAAATAAGTTTAATAGCGTGCACAATATTTTGAGGAACACAATACCCCCACACTATGTTGGTAAGGCTAGCCTTGAGCTTACTAACATCAGACTGCCTCTACCTCTGTCACTACCTCTACCTCTGCCTATTACTCGGCCTCTGCCTCTAAAATAGCCCTGGACCTACCCCTGATCCTGGCCCTATCTCAAGAGTGTTGAGACTAAAGAAATGCTCCCACAAACTAAATGGAATCAAGTTTCTTTCTGTCTATGTGGATATCCAGGTTTCCCAGCATGATTGGAAGAAGAGGACATGTGTAAGCCAAGGTGCATTTTTGGTACCTACCCCAAATCCTCCCAGAGACTAAACTGAATGTGTTTACAACTGGAACTCAACTCAGACTGATGTTTCTGAATATCTGCAGCTGTGGCAGAGATCCTAAGAATGTCATCCATCTGTTGTAGGGGCCTAAGTGCAGAGGTACACTGAGAGGAGGGGTCATCCCACTTACCAGGGACTGACTTCTTCCTTGACTCTTTTTCAGTGTTGCAAAGGGAAACTTCCCTGGGAATCACACCTCAAGCCAGAGACTCCCTCAGCTGCAGAACAGAACTGTGCTACTCCTACACCCTGCATTCCCAGATAAGGACACCAACTATTGATGGGAACAAGTCATTAACTGCCCCCATCCACAACCTTCAGAAATCCTGGTATTGTCACAAGCTCCATGACTGGAACAGAAAATGACAACCTGCATGAGATGGCAGCAAATATGTCAATGCCTCTGGATGTCTACGAGTGCACGAGAGAAAACCAAGACCCATCTCTCTTCCCTTTAGCACATCCGGACATGCAGCATCCCTTGCACTTCACTGATGCTGGGAGCCTAGGGCAGAAGCTTGCTTCTGACAATGCCACCAGGGAAAGCAGCAGTCTTGGTCAGGATGAGCCTGGGACGTGCACAGTGTGTTGGCCTCCAGCATGGACTTTGCAGACATGATTACGCTGGTGGCAGAAGTTCACCTCCCTAAATGATCAACTCCCTCTCTGAACTAAACCAATTCCAGGTTCCCACAGCCACCCAATGCAAAGACTCCATAGTCATCAGGAGCGATCAAGCCCGGTAAAGGTACAGTGTCTTCAGCACATCCTTAAACCAGTTGAGGATGGAAGAAAAAGGCTCTAATCCTCTTCACATACCTTCTCTGGTCAGAATCCAATATCAGGACATGGTAGAGGAAGAGAGGCTGGGGTCAGTGCTGTGGCCAGAGAAGGGGATATTAATAACATGGCCCAGCAAATGGAAGGAAAGCTCAGAAAGCCACACTCTGCAGGCCCAGCAGACCTAGGAATCATATAATACAAGATCAAGAGAACTAGAGAAATCAATTCCAAGAAAGCTGAAGGAGCTGAAGCCATCAATTCACTGTCCTCAACACCAAGAGGAAGCAGGAATTACTGGAGCTCAGCCATGATAGAATTAACAAGCCTCAAACCCACCTCAGCATGCACATGCTGGAGTCTGTGAAGGTCTGTCACTCACTGGAAGAAGGGAGAGAAGAAAACTGGCATCTCCTGAACCTTCAACACTTTGTGCTACTCTGTGCTCTAACAGTTTCAGAGTTTGTTACACTTTGGCCTCTGAGGCATTGGGCGGTAATTATCTTTGCCAAGGGTTAATTATAGTAAACAGAATTCAATTATTTACTAACTCACATTTAGTTTCTTGAGAAAAAGACCCTCTCCATAGCCCAGCCTGTCCTGGACCTTGCTAAATTGAACAGGCAAACATTGAACTCAGAAAAAGCTGCCTGCCTTCCCCTCTCCCTTTGTCTGCATGTCAACCTCAGCCTCCCCTAC